CTTAGATGCCTTAGATTTACATCCAAACTTACCCACTTAGAGGGGCCCAGATTTCAATCCAAAACCATTCATTTAAATACTCCAGACTCCAGGTTTTCTTCTTCTTCCAGGAACATGGCTGGGAAAAAAAAAAAAAACAAACCAGAAAAATAGTTTATTTCAGTTCAAAGATATAAGAAGATTATTTTGTTTCAAGATTTGTGCTTTGAAATGTTTCAGAGCTTTGCTTTGAGAAGGGACAGCATTTAACTGTCTCCTTTCTTCACAGGAAAATGAATTCCTTTTCACAAGTACCCAGATTTGTACCAAGGTTTTCTTCTGCTTGGTTGAGCAATCTTTGCTCGAGATTGCTATGAGGCAATTATTTAAAAATGTTCTCTGGTTAAGTAAAGAGAAATTGCACGGATTCTTCAGTTAGATGAGAACACCAAAAACTCCAGCATAAAAATAGTCATTAGTTATGATCAAGCTGTAAATTTCCTGAGAAAATAAGTGAAGTTTTAACGAATGGTACCTTGCATCACAGAGGTTATTTTGAGCGTGCACTAAGCTTTTCCCCCAGGATCCTCAGGATTAATTAAGGATCAAATGCTTTAACCACAGTCTTCCTGTAACTTGTGGTGAGCACCCTGCTAAGCAGAGTTCCTTTGGGTTATACCAGCAGGACTGTCTGTGTGCTGCCATCTTAAATGAAGCACGATGAATGGTATTTCTCTGCCCTCAGAGCACCTGCTGCATCCCACAGCTGAGGTGTAGAGATGGGGAAACAGTCAAACGCTCTGTCAGGAAAGTTTCTCAAGTATCATTATGCCAATTTGCACTTTGCCTGCCCCAGAACTGTGAAACGTGTAGCCAAGTCTGCTTCCTGCACACAGAGTAGGAGCTTGGGGGGTTTGCATAGAGAACAGCCCGCCCTACCACTTGCGATCAGCTACACTGCAATCTCGCCTGGCTGCTAATGTTTGTTATCTTCTCTGATAATTCTAATTCAAATTACAGAGTTTTGTTATAAATTAGTATTTGCTATAAATTAATTCAACTTACTGATGATAATAATTGGGAGACATTTTAAATCTATTTTGCCAGTACTCTCTTCAGAGTCCTGAACTTTGCAGGAGCTGTACAGAACTTCTAAAATAATAATAACAACAATCAGAGGACTCATTACAAGCTTTCAGCATTTTAACCCAGAACTTTCCTTGAGGCTCTCCCTGCCTTTTACTTGAATTTCAACTTTCATTTATTTCCTTGTGCAGTGATGGGGTTAGTTGAGTGCAAGTAGTTACTGAAAGGTAACGTTGTTTTTTGGAGACTTGCTTCTTCTTCTGTCCGTAGTTCCCCTTACTTAAGCACTAGAACTACCGTATTTGTACACATTTACAGACTGATAATTGTAGTGGGTCATATCTTTCACTACCCCTCCTCTAGCAATTACTTCTGCTATCTTGATATTATCCATGTGCTTCTGATCTACTTCATATCTACTGCTCTATTTTTACTGCTATCTTTTCTGTCTCCTATAGCAAGAAACATGATTTGCATGTTGTTTACCTTTTTAAGATAGCTTTTGGACTTACTCATTTAAAAAACAACAACAACCGCACACAAAATCACCCAAGCCATCAGCACAGTGGCAACATGTCACAGCTAGGCTTAAAAAAAGGATCTGAATTTGTGTGTACAAATCCAGCTCTTCCGAAGTTCTGCTCTCTATTGCAATAATTTCAAGTAATACTAACATATTTTCTTTAACTGACTGCTGCTAGCTATCTCAGAGCTATCTAGCATTTAGTTCCTTAGAGTTATAGAATAGCTTAGGTTGGAAGGGACATAAACAATCATCTAGTTCTACCCCACTAGCTTAGGCTGCCCAGGGCCCCAACCAGGTTGGCCTTATATGCCTTCAAATATGGGGCACCCATAGCTTCTCTGGACAGCCTATGCCAGTGCCTCATTGCCCTCTGAACAAAGATTTCTCCATAATGTCTAACATACATGTACTCCTTAGACTTGCCATAAAGCAGGTGTGTCTGCATTTGATGTCAGCAGATCAAACGCTGGCATTTCCTTTCTGCTGTTAAAGAATGAACCTTGGTTTGCTGGCCACATCCAGGCCTCATACTTGTGGCTTACCAAAAACCAGTGCGGTTCTTGTTACTGGGTTAGTGTGTTCCTAACTGGTTTCAGGTGTCCTGCCCACTTCTTAATCCAGACAGTAATCACATCCCACGTGCAAGCCCCAGGTAGGATTTAAGCATAATCTCTTCACCTTCAAGAGGGAATAGACTACAGCCTGTTTTATCATGGCAGAGCTCTAACTAAAAGAGGACTTGCATGGTAATCAGCTTCAAGGGAAGCAGCAGTCCCTGAGGTGAGACTGTCTTTCCCTCAGGCCAGCAATAGGAGCCTGTCAGAAACCATTCTTGCAGGTATGTCTTCCTAAGGCTCAGAGATCCTAGGGAAAAAGGGAAATCCTATCTGATCAAACACTCTATCCTGCTCATAAGGAGTCAGAACAAACTTCTTCTGACGGTATGATACAGCTCAAACAGCAACCAGGACTAGCCTGCTTTCTGTTCCATTAGTGCAGCTCCTTGCAGAGGAAATATTAACTTTAATTATAGCAGCATAAAGGAGAAAGTTTTGTGATTGCTCAAGTTGGCAGTCTGTAACTTAGGCATTAGATCTCTGCCAATACAGAAATTTAGTCATAATGCGAGTCATTGCTAAATGGAAAGAAGGATTAAATTTTCCTTTTATTCTGCTGCCAGTCAGGAGGGAATCCAGGGCATAAAATAACAGTGCAGAACTGTTACAAGTGAAGGGTCTTGGGTTCTTTGTAATTCCCTGTAACAATAAGGTAATTACTATTTTACAATTAACATCTTCTATACTTTCATGCTTCATATAAATATCTACAATTGAGTGCCGTGTTTATGGTAGTCAACCTCATACATTTTATAGAATAGTACTTGTAGATCTTGATTTCTGGAGAGTATATCCTATGGAATTAAAGTTTGAGAACTGAGTAACAGTATTATTTTTCTCTGTAGTGAGGATGAAGACAAAATGCTGCATTTATAAGGGATGTTCTTTTTGAGCATTTTGGAGTGTGTTCCAGTGAGATTGTATAGCCCATGGACAAAATGACTTTTTTGTGTGCAGAGAGAACTTCTCAAATATCAAATGAAGTCCCGATTTGCAATGAATCAGAAGGCCCACTCTGTAGCAATCACAACATTTTCTTAGAGAAGTGCAAATACATCAAACCAAGGATGCAGGCTAAAAGGATGCATACTTACACTTAAATTATTTTGAGTAAAATATTTAATGCTCATTTTGTAAGTACAGAATTCAACAGCATATAGTTGATAATAAGGCACTGAGATCATTTGGGGCTCTTCCCCCATTCCTCAAGCAAAGTGTTGTTTTGCATTTGAAGGTGTCTCTGTGACACAGACGAGAGACCTTTCATAAGGTCTTTGTCCTCAGTGAACTTACTCAGCCACGGAATATATTCTCTGCACTTGGGCTTCAATGCATAACTTCAGTTAGATCACTAAGGTCAGAATAACTCAAAGTCTTGAGCACATTTCTGTATTACTACCATGTGCTTTGAGACAAAAGAAAAGCCTTAAGTAAAAACAAACCACAAAAGCTAAGTGGTTCTAGGTCAGCTGATAAAAGCATTCCTTTCAGATGTTACACAAGACCATCTACTGTCCACACAAAACAGTAATTTGAAAAGCAGACACAGCTACGTCATGGAAATTTCTCAGGCACACTCAAGGCACAAAGACAATGACTACATTTAAAAGACTTCTTCTTTATGTCAGTTATTAGTGAAACATTTTATATGCAATCCTGATCTGCCAGCTTGAAAAAAATGTATATTCCCCATATAGTCCAAACCTTTCTGCTATTGCCCAGAATGGCTCCATAGGTTGGCCAGATTTGTAGAGAAGAGCTGGTGCTACATGATCTGAAGTGCACTATTTACTTTTTATGTACCCTACAAGGCTGCCAATTTTTAGCTGTGTATCTGTATAAACAAACAGTCACCTCAGAAAGAAAAAACACTTCAGATAGAACAAAGGACAACAGTAGTGTAGAAGACATACATTAAGGGTTCTTAACATCTTTCCACATCTTACCCTTGCTTTTTAAAGGATAAAGACTGTATCTTCAAGTATATAACAAAAAATAATGCAGGCCAACACTGGGACATGAGCTTAAAAGGACAAGCAGGTGTGTCTTGGAGTGGTCCATATTTTTGCTTTTGCAATGGAAGGCCTAAACCATTGGGCTCCCATGACCAGTCAGAAGCAGAACTAAACTTTTGTTTGTTTTTCACGCATACACATTTGTTGAAAAAAGAACTCAGTGTCACTGAAAGTAGCATGTAGCTCTTCATATGAGAAAAGGGTTCTCATGTGAAATTCAGCACTTTGTGCTACATGTTTCATTTTAGACCCCTAGGTAGGCCTGAAAGAGTTTAATTCCTAATTCCTTGAGCTCAGTTCAGCATAGACCAGTCAAGCATTTAAGTAAGTATCTTCCTTCAATAACATAGCACCATTTGGACCCTTTATTCCCTGCTTTGGGGAAATATATTAAAATTACTTCCAAAGCATACAGAAGCAAATCAAAGAGTCCCTCAGAAGTCTCATAATTCCAGCTCAGAGATGGGCTGCAAAATTAAAATACCCCTCAACGCTGCTCACGAGGCAACATATTTACAACTCAGATTCCAAATTTCTTTTCCAAGGAGAACAAAAGGTCAAAGAGGAACAATGTATATCACTAATGAAATTGAAAACAGTATCTCTTACCTTCTGTGAGCACTTCATTTTTTGTTCTCAGTCCACTGTAATTACAATTCAAGACAGAATTGCTTCCAACGAGTAAATGGTCTTGGGGATGAGATTTAGATGATTTGATTAATGAGATTTAGATGATTTGCATTGGAGTTCTTCTCTCCTTAGCTTTCACTGGTGGCAGAAGGTTGTGTGTGGTGCCCTGAGCTGGAAGGTTTTCCATATGGTTAATACACTAATATAAGCTATCTTCCTCTCTCCCAAGTGTTTTCTGTATGAATATACAGCATTCTTACTGCAGTGATGCCAATAGTCACATCATGTGGGCACTGCTTATAAACAGGTGACTCTTCTGTATTGCTAAAACGTGGAAAGAAATGAGAGATGTCCTTGTTGGCTGAGCTTTTGAAGAAAGAAAAAACCAGAACAGGCAAACCCTCAGAGCACTGTATTTGGCTATACACTAGATCACACAGTTTTTGTTTCAACAGGAAGTGTAGAATTATTTAGCGCATTGCAATTGAGACAGAAACGTTCATAAAGAGCTTGAACCAACGCCATTATATCATGTGTGTTTCCTCACACCAAGAAGCACCAGCTATAGCTCACTGTTGTTTATCACACCAGTACAAACATTTTAAAAACACAAATTTTGATCAGCAATTTTCATTGCCTGCAGCCCATAATGGAGTTCAGCTTTGGACAGGAATAAATTGCAGTATCTGACAGACGGATTTGCTGACGCAGCAAGCTCATTCAACGTCTAAATGAAACACAATTTCCTTAAGGCTAGAGGTTGGCTGAAAATTATTTACCTACAGGTAAGTTATGTCCATGAGCTTATTCCATTACTCTACTGCTGTTCATTACAGTCCCCTCATCTACTGTGTGTTGTGGTATATATTTAAACTTAAATAATAATAGGCTGTCTGAAAAGACTTTTTGGTTTTTCACAGATTCAATAATAGAAAAGATATCAAAGCTAAGCATCTTAAAGATGAAAGAGAGAATACAGCAGTTGATTAAAAAAAACTCAATGTTTGCTCTGAAAACTATTTCACCTTTCTTTTTTTTGAAGGAGATTACATTTTAGAACAAAAGAAATAATTTGCAGTGAAGAGTAATCATTGGCAAGTCAAGAGTAGAAGATGTATAGATAAACTTCACCAACTCCTAAATGAAGGTGTGGTTATAACTTTGGAGTTTCTGTTGTGTAAGTCTGTGCTTTCCAGTGTGACCGGAGTGTCTCTGCCTTGTGGAGCCTGCTGCATTCTTCACAGTAAGCAGGATTTGATAAGAGAGGACTGTTCCAAATCTCATCTAGTAGAGCACTCAAACACATCCTTACATTTAACTAGGCAAATACCAAATACTCCTGCTGAGTTGACAATATGCATTCAAGACAAAACATCTGCAAAACTAAGTGCCTTGCTGAACTGAGACTAGAATACACATATGCTGCAAGATCATATCACATCACACAGGATTTATTTTCACTTAGAGCATTTACAGGCTGTAAAGTGTAACACTTTACACCAGGAAGTTAACCAATTTTAAATTTCAGACTCTATATTGCATATTTTATTACTAGGGAACATATAAAGGTTGCTCTGAAAGTCATGCTTCCTATTTATTTCCATGGAAACTACAGCAGATACAAAGAGCACAATAACACCACTTCATAGAGAAAATCCTCAGCAACAAAACAGCCTTTTTCCATGTACTCACCACCATTAGCTGTACATTTTTGCCAGAGATGAATAAATGCCTGCATGATGCACTCATAAATTCCTGTGCCAGTGGAAGTGATTCACTGTCACCACTGTCACCACCCACCTCTTCACTGTACTCATATCCACTGTTTGGTCTCCAGAAACATTCAGCAAGCATTACTGAATGTCAAGGGGTACAATATTTTCCTGTATGGAGGAATTCAGTGGCACACCTTTGCTTCTTCCACACTTCCATGTCAGATGCTATTTTGTCAGACTGCCCCTCTGCTGCCATCTGTCACACACAACAACATGTAAGGCAATGTTGGTGGGAAGGTTCCACCTCTACTGCTGACAGTTGCCTCTGACATTGCGGGCCAACAAAAAATAGGAGGCATTTTTTTCAGAGCAATCCTTGTATAACGAACCTGTGTTTAGAAAGAGTGGAACATAACATTTTGCAACAAGAATCTCAGATGAAAATTGCTTTTTGCATGTAACTTGATGCTATTGTTTCTAACTTCAACCTTTGCTTTTTTTTTTTTTTTTTCTTAAACTCTCTTTCTAATCTCTAACAAACCAAAATAGAGAGAAATAATCTACTTGACAAAACAAGTTTCAGTCATTTTTTTAATAAGAGTTTCCAGGTTCAATAACATTAATAAAGAAGTGTTAAATCTATGTGAACTTAACAAGCAAAATTCATTTCACTATCGATTTAAATATATATATATACAAACACCCCCTTTCATTTTCTGTTACTCACAGCTTTAAAATGGTGAATGATGCCACGATGGGTGGAAACTTGTCCAGGCTGTTGGAGAATTTTCCAGTGAAGTACCAACAGAAATAGGAGGTGACTGAGAAAAGAAAAACAACAACCAGATTTCAGGATTCTCTCACAGAAAGGATGCAGGGCTAAAAAAATGACCTTGAAGTGGCCAGGCTCAAGCACTTGTTTCTCTCCTGTTGGAGAGAGACCATTGCCCATGAACAGCTTACCACTAGATCCAGGAGATTCAATACATATCAAAATGACCTCCACAGCTACAGCCTAGAACATTTTTTGTGTACTTGTCATGGCTTAAATCACAAGGCAAAAATCGTAATTACAACCACCTCGGTGGTATGAAGTATGTCCACATGTGCAATTACTTGCAGAGCCATTTTTAAGGACACAACTACTACACATGGTCTTCTGAATCTCAGAGAGAGCCAAGATACTCTTTTGTATGCAGCTGCAGGGTGATGTCAGTCCGAAGATTTTGCAGTTAGACTAGTAAATAGGAGAAAAAATCATCTGGTTCAAGCTCTCCTACAATTTTACCTTTGCCATCCCCTCCTGTGCCCTGAGGGACCCCTATTGCTACCACACTACCTTTTCCTCTTCTCTTCTGGGCTTTAGTGGGAGTGTAGAAAGTCAATAGCTGGAGGAGAAGAGGCTAGATAGAATTTAAAGACGGAAAGTATAAAGACACTCTGCAAATTTTGCAGAGATACCCCCCAAAAAATCCAGGCATTCCAGCCTGTCCTATTCCTACACTTTCCTTCCAGCCAGAGGTGGCTTGACTGACCTATATCATTAACAAGGGATTCTGGTTGCCCTCAAGCTGGAGAGCCTCAGAGACTGGCTCCTGTACTGGCGGAGGTGGCCACCAGGAGTCCCAGGCAAAGAAGCACATATGCTGGAGAAAGGCTCTAAAGACCAATTCGTGTTTCACACTTTGTGTTTCAGCAAAGCAGGCTGGGAAAAGATGACCTTAGCAAAAGCAACACTTAGCAATTCCATCCACCACTGCCCTTCGTCTCTTATTTTTCCATTTGCCCTTCTTCCTTCAGTCTAGAGATTTTGGAAAGAGAGAACTGAAACTGATAACTTACCATGGGAACACTCAAACCTTTTCCCCAAAATGTGAGTAGAGTTTCAGCAAATGTATTTTACTTTTGCATGACTTATCACTTCAGCTGCCAATGTCCTCCGTCATATTTTCCTGGGCATAAGAATGGTTTGCCAAAGGCCATTTGGTAAAGTAATCTGAAGTATCTTCAGGTTAGTGGGCGGAAGACAGGAATTAAGATGTAACAAAGTGGTGAGATGCAAGAGGTGCTTGGTTCAAGGCATGTTTTCTTCCACAGAAGAAAAGCATTCTAGCCAAGAAGTGAACTTTAAAGAATTTTTCTTCACATAGAAGATAATCAACACTATGATACATTAAAGTATTCATACTAGTTAACTTCTCCACTAAATAAAAAAAATTAGCCTGGGAAAAGGATTTCTAACATTGATATAGAAAATTTTCCTTTCTGAGAATGCAGAGAACTAGGCAGGTAAGAATTTCCCTTCACTACTCTCTCCATATTGATGGAATGATCCAGTGCAGACCGTATCATACAGAAGGTCTTCACTGCTGACCACTGAAGCTGCGTGATACAGTTAGCAAGACTGAAGTAACAGTGGTTATTCAGTATTTGCTCAAATTGAGTCAGTAGTGTTTAGTTTTTGCATCCTACAGTAACATTGGCTCAAGCAACAGTCAGCAAAACAGGCTAGATGAACCAAGCCTTTAGCCTCTAGAGCCAAAAGTAGTGTGTATACAAGAGCTACTGGCTTTTGGTTTTGCTGGCTATGGATAAACGCCACTTTAGAAGTGACACATCAGAATTAGAATTCACAGCAAATGTTTATAAGCTGATGGAACATCAAATATTAGCAACCTTCAGACACAGCACTTCAGTAATTAAAATCTTAACTTAGCAGTTCAAAAGCTAATGAGGCATCACAAGAAAGTTCTACAGTAGGATTGCATACTGCATCCTTACTCCTATGACAGGCCATACCTTGTTTAAAATCTCATAAAAAAATCAATTTACTACCCCTTCACCTCCTGTAACACTGAGAATAAAACACATTCTAAGCTGATGAGGCTCCTCCTCCAAGAGCAGGATTCTTGTACTACATCAAATGCCTCTATACTACAATCCATTCCCTGGAAGGAAGGCTGTTTCTGTACACTTTAAATACTCACCAAGTGCATTATTTCTAAGGAATTAACTCCAGCTGTTAAAGCAGAATGAAATTGTAGTTACAAGCTGTTTTCCAAATTTCATGTACAAGGTGCTTTTAATCTATGATGGAAGTTTAGTTCCATTCCACCAGCTTGTTTTTCAAGCAAAACCTTCTGCAACACTTTTCCCTAGTCATCCATGACAAACTTGCAGACACCCATAAAGGAGCAAGGTAATTGAAGCAGTCGATTGAAAAATGAAGGCCATTAAAGTGATCTACCAAACCTTACAAATAAATAAGAAGTGAATGAGAAAATGGAAGCATGACATCTGTAATTAATTATTATATAATGAAAGTTTACATCTGTTATTCCTTAAATCTTTCAGATTAATATTTTTTAGTTCAATTTCTTGAAGAACTGTACTGTTTAGAGAGGAGTAAGAAATAAATCTTGTTTCCCTTTAAGGGAATACACCACTCTTAATTATAAAAGCAAGAGTTTACATTTAGACTTAATTAATGAACTATATAGGTCACTCCAAAAGCAATGGCTGCTATTTATTTCCATGGAAACTACAACAGATACGAAAAGCACAACCACACTATTTTGTAGAGCAAATCCTCAGCTACAAAACAGTATTTTTTCAACATAATCACCACCATTAGCTGTGCATTTTGCCAGCAGTGAACAAGAGCCTGGCACGCTGCACTTGTAAGCCACACATGACACTATCAGTGCTATCAGGAGACAGCATTAATCCTGTGCTGCAGACAGTAACCCAAGAGCTTTAGAGTGGTGAAACCAAACTGCAGGTGCTTGGCCAGAGGAGCTTTGGCTCTAGGCTTTGGTTGAGAAGGTTTAACTCTTCACTCACTAGTTCATTAAGTCTGTTAATATTCACAGGGATTACCATGACAGAGAAAGAGCAGCTTCTACATCTATTCGCTGGTTTTAATTTTAGCTTTGAATTTATCCTCCTTAAAATTTTCTGAACCATTTTAACCCTCTGTCCACAGGTGCATTTATTTAGGTTTTTTCTTCTCACTTTCCCAGCCGTAATTTTGATTTATATGTGGGGAAATGTAAAGATCAAAACCAGCAGCTAGTGGAATGCCCAAGCTGCTAGAATGAGCTGAATTATGCAAGCTGAGTGTTTGGTAAGAAACCTGCCTACTTACTTCGGCAGCTCCCACAGCAAGCAGCTTAATTTGCTATCTGTAGGAAGATGTTCAGAATCATTGAAGACATTCCCATCCATCCTCCTCCCCCAGTCTTTGGGATCAGTTGGCTTGAAAGAGTCATTATCCCTTTATCCATCTCCCTCAGCCTCCCCATTAATGCATTTTATTAGTATGTGTCATGTGAGCGAAACATTCAGGGTTTCATTTGTAACCTGTGCAATATCCAACTAAGGACACTGCTGATAAATGAAGTTCCAAGTTCTACTTGAAACATTATTACATAATACATCAGTTTTATGTCAGAGGTACTGATGTTTTTATGGCCTCTCCATTCAGAGTAATGGGTCTGTACTCACAGGGGCTTCATAATCTGAAATTCAAGCATCTCTGAGATTGACGAAGTCATTTATAAAACCTGCATCATGAGACAAGGTTTTCTTATAGTGGGAACCACTCTGGTTTCCGCTGACAGTTTTAGTCTGCATGTTTCCTAAAGAAAATCCTAATCCTTAACATGAAAATAGCATGATGCTAATGAAGGCATTTTTGGCTTATAATCTTGCCTAAACAAATTTTGGCAATGTTTTTTTGCAAATGGACACACAGAGCTTAATTTCCTGAACAATTCCTTTCTCATGCCATAGCCAACATAAGACCCCACAAATTCTGAGTCACAGCATCTGCAACAGCTCTTCTGATGAAATATAAGTTCCTTATTTGGCCTAAAACATCCTGGGAAAAGAAAGAAACGATGCAAAGAGTCTTCACCAAGTGTTTCTAAGCCCTTCCGGTGCACCTGAAAAACAGCATTTTCAGCTAAAGAAAACAAGTCACACATTATAAATAGTTTTTTTTTAAAATATATTATTTAAATCTAAAATGTGTTTGAATGTCTTTTATATGCAGCTCTCCAGTAGGTGAAAAAATAAGGAAGATTTGATTGAATGTATGAAGGAGTCCAGTTGTAAACAAAGCGGGATTTGATGAATTCACCCAAATTCTCGCTGCAGGTCTCCTCTTTTCATATGATTTTTTTCCCCATTCTTGTCCTATTGCTTTCCCACAGTCCTGACAATGTGAACAAAGAAATGTTCATGTCAGACATTATGCTGCATTCTCTCTGTCTTTGTTTCCTAAATGCTAAAGAAGCACATTTTGTAATTCAAATTGCATTGTGTTGTAAAACTTCGGTGTGAAAAACTGTTTTGCAATGCCTCTCTGATTTTGCCAATAGGGAAGTGAACATACTTCAGATCTTACACGTCACTATAAACCACTCTACTTGAATCTGTTTGGCCATACATTGCCTCTAGTTTCTCTCTGACTCAGCTTTCTCTTTTTAGCACTCTTATTCCAGTGTGGCATCAAAACAGGAAATAGCTTTTTAAGGCATTTTCAGGAAAATAGTTGGAAAGCTCCAACTCCACCTCAAATCCTAAAATATACGAGTGAGAATGCTTCTTATTGACTTGTAATGGTCAAAATCAAGGAACAATTTCCCTTTTGATGCAAAACTACTCAGAATGGCTTCAAATCAGCCTTTCCATCCCATTACTGAAGCAGGGATTGTCTCACTGACAGCACCTACCAAACGCAGCATGCTCCCCTCTGAATCCATTACAATCTCTTTCACACTTTCCAAACCAACTCTATTCCAAAGCATTCGTATTT